GTGGTCGTGACATTCACATATTTATTCCCCTTCACATATTTCAGCAGCTGTGCCATCATCTTAGGCATCCAGCTGCAGTGGGAGGGGCAAGTGAATTCCTTTGCTATTTCTTCTCCTGGGCACTTAGGACCAGTGTGATGTTTGTTAGCAGGCAGCCACTTTCTTTTCTTCCTCTCTCAGAGTACGTCTACACCACATGCTTATTTCAAAATAAGCTATTCCAGAATAATTATTCCAAAATAGCTTATTTCGAAATAGCTCGTCTACACTGCAGGGAAGCCTCAAAATTAGTCCCAGGCAGGCTTCCCTAAAGTAGATGTGCTATCTTGATTGAGAGCCCCAGGAGGCACTGGGGAGGAATAACATAGAATGGCCCTGGTGAGGGGCTATTTTGAAAGAGCAGCAGTGGAGCATCTACACATGCCTTATTTCAAAATAGCTATTTTGGAATAGTAATAGAGATGTAGCCGTGTTAGTCTGGTCTTGCTGGTCTGGCCCACAAAAGATCATCACCTAATAAACCATCTTGTTAGTCTTTAAAGTGCTGCATAGTCCTGTCTTTTATTTTGGAATAGGCATTATTCCTCCTAGAATGAGGTTTACAGATTTTGGAATAAGCCACATGTTATTTTGAAATGATTTTGAAATAACGGAATGCCTGTGTAGATGCTCACATTGTTATTTCACAATAATGCTAATTATCTTGAAATAATGGTGCAATATAGATGCACCATCAGTGGCACAGCTTCTCCTGCAGCAGCTGGAAGAATGATATAAAAGGGAAGCATAGGCAGTGATGGAGAGAATGAGGAAGAGAAGAAGGTTGCCAGTGAGACTCACGATGAAGGCCTAATATCACCCTTCCTCTCTTGTTGTAAGTACACAGTCAGATTGTAATCACCCTCCTGAGGGACAGTGGAGGAGAAATCTAGTTAAGAGCTTTGCAAATATGAATTAATCAACAAAGACAGTACTTAAATAGACACTATCATTTTTGAACTAGAGCTCAAATGCATTAGCTCCACATTTTGCTACATCTCACCATACCAGTCTAGTAAGTGGGAATCACAAAGACTACTTCCAAGTCTGCATCTCTCAGTCACTGGAACAACTTAGACATTTTTTTATAATCATAATTATAGTCTGAAAATTCCATTTTAGGTAGACAAAGTCCTAATAGGATCAGAACATGTTGAACATTCCAGACAAAAATAAAATTAAAACAGGGTTCTGTACCACAAATACAAATTAAAGCCATCTGCCAATTTTGTAAAATACTTCACCTAAAGAACTTGTAATTTTTCTTGTAATATGAGCATAAAAGACAACCTACCCCTTAAACAACATTTCTTTGATGTGTTTAGTAGGTATCGTATTTTCTAGTAACTCCTAACCATCTGAGAACTATCTCCTAGCTGATGTTTTGCTTCAAAGAGAACATTGGTAACACGTTTGCAGAGAAGGGCCACAATTTTTATATTATTTATTAGTTTGTTTTAGGTCACTGGAGAGCTTCTGAAAGACACCTTTTACTTTTTATCTTATAAGCACTTAGAGAGTTCTCAGGTAAGCACAATTTACAGTATGCCATCCTAAAATAAAATCATGATGCATTCCTAAATTGATAGCAATTGCATAAAACCAAATTAAAAAATAGAGATTTTTTATTCCTTCCTTTATACATGCCTGCCTCTCTATCTATAAACATATGTTTGTACATGCTGTTTATTGATTGATTAGCATATAAAATTACAATATTACATTTGCAACACTGTACTTAACAGTGTGTCTTCATTTTTATTTCAGGGGTTTATATTTCAGCCATAAAAGTTATCTGTTGCCTGAAACTTGGCATAGATTGATAAAGTTAGGATTTCTTTATTCCTTTAGTTTTGCAAAAGTAGAAGAAAATTTCCAGGAAAGAGTCTCTCTCCTCATCATTTCCTCACTTCCCTACAGAGCAAAAGGAGTTTGGGAGAAGATCTTGAATGGAGTCAATTTGGCATAGCTAAAAAGAATTCCATGACACTATGGTAATTTTAACCAACCTTCTGCTTTGTCTATTTTTGATAATTTAAAGAACACCTTATTTCCTTTAAATAAGCTTCATTGTGCACATATGGACAGCCTTGCTTACCAAAAAATCCATACTGAATTTTAGCATAAAATATTAGGATAAATTGAGTAAGGAGCAAAACTCATCTCTGACACCCAGTAGTTGCTTTTGGTGTTTGGAAGCCATGCAAGGGGTTGAGGAGAAGGGATCATAACCCCAGACTCTGTGGATGCAGAACCCTTCTGTGGAAGTGAGTACAGCCAATGGCATAATAAGCTCCATGGAGACATTACACGTATTCTTGCATTGCTAGGAGAGTTGGGAAGCTTATAAAGTGTTAGGTTTCTGTGACTCCACTGAACCAGCCCATGCCTCCTCTCCTGCCTCTTGTGCATGATCTTTCTTCCCCCTGTTTCCATGGAAGAAGGGTGGTTTGCCCCCTTTACTGCATATTAGTGAAAAGAATACCAGCCTCAAACTGGCATGATTGCTCAGATCAGTGATTTGTATAGTTCAACTGCTACCTTCAATCTGCTAAGTTTACATGTTAGCATTTATACTAATGGTGCTTAGTGGTTTAAAAAGAAACAGTGAGGCCTATTGGGTGAAACAGTGATTTTGAAAACATCACAAAGTACAATGTAGATTTTCTAAGAAGTGCATATTAAAAAAGCTGCTGAGGATAGTTAGGCACAGAGCACTTATTTCTAACACAGCTGTTTTTGTACACATATGTCATCAGCCATTCTTTCTGGTAAACAATAAATGCGCATAAGCATTTTGTATGGTATGTATGTACACAGTATATCTGAATGATAAATTCTGCCCTCTGCTAATGGATGTCGATACAGGGAGTGAGTCTCCCCCGACACCAGGTGTGAGGCAGAATCCTACCATAGCGCAGAAGAGTGGGACAGAGATGAGACATGTCCGCTGATACGTGGTAGACAGAATGAGGGCAGCAAGCTTTAGCATTGGTACTGAGCATGCTCAGTTCATTGAGCATGCTCAGTGCAAGCCACACAGCATGTGTTGCCTCTGGAGCAGGAGGTAGCTTGGACATGTTATTCTTTCCTATAAAGCGTGATTTGATGGAAAAGGTGCTGAGTCTAGCAGCTTCTTATATGCTGTAAGATGCACTTTGTTCCTGCTCAGAGGCAAAACACAGTGTGCTTCCCCCATCACGTCTTCAGCCTGTCTTGAGGTACCTTGCCCTGCCGCAGCAGGATGCTTGCTACCAGTATGTGTGATAAGACTCCTTGTGCCAACTGCTTCCAGCAATAGTCATTATTAGCCTTTATCATGTAACATATGTGCACTCAATAGAATATGCACTCAACTAACTAGGTGCAAGCACGTGCTTTAATATAAGCCTAAGTATTGGTAGAACAGAATTGCTTATTGAGATAAAGTAACATGTTGCATAACTTTCCATAAAGCGCTTTGTCTTCATTTAACATCAAAGTCTCAAATAAATTCTTGTATCAAACGTATTTTAATTAAGCAAGAGGTGGATAAAGAGTTTTCCTTTCAGCATCCCCAATTGCACTCTGCTGCTCTAGTCAATAGAAGAAAACTAAGGAACCTCCTTCACAGTTAATAGTAATTTTAACTTAATTTTAATTTCCATTTACAGAAAGTTGAACATGGCACTATAAATACTGTGTGACATGCTGGGGGTGTGTGTGGAGAAAGTGTGTTAATCCTGTGAGGTGGGCTCATCTGTGCAAAGTATCTGACGTATAGCTCTAGCACTCATAATGACAATGAGCTGACACAAGGGGTTCTCAGACTTTGACAGTGTGAGTAATTAATTTCTCAATAGAAGACACCTCTCTTTCCATTTAATCCATTCCCCCCTCCCCCTCCCATTTTCACTGGCACACTTTTCTATAGCAACTGTGACAATTGGTTGCTTGGAAGAGTAACATTAGGAAAGTATTTCATGAAGCTACAGTGTATGATAAAAGGAGAACTGCACTATGTTTCCAGCCAGCTCTTCATTGACTGTGAGCAAGTAGTCAGTGGAAGGGCTATACTTTGAAGAGACTAGAGACTTTTATCTCAAAGAATGTCTAAGTACTTTACAAATTTAGGCCTCAGTATAAAAGTCTTCTGTGTGGTGCTTTGTTTTTGCTTGTGCAAAATCTTACTTGTGCAGCTTTGCAAAGGCACAGGAGTCCATCTATCTGGGTCAAATGGCTATATCAAGATCTTAAACTCATGTATAGCTAACAAAATATTCACCTTCCCATAGGTAGTTGGTTAAACATTTTTCCTAGAGAAGAAAAACAAACAGCATCCTTCACCCCCCTTCACCCCCCATCACCCCCCATTGCGTTTGTTCACTGTAGAGGCAAAGCTACTCCATAATCAGCAAAATCTCTTTGCTTACATTGCGTTTGTTCACTGTAGAGGCAAAGCTACTCCATACCCTAAAGTTAGAAACTGAGCTTACATAATGAGTAAAATAGTTATAGTTGTACTACTGGCTCTACTGTCTGCTTTTTTTTTTAGGGTATGTCTACACTGCAACACTATTTTGAAATAACTAGCGCTATTCTGAAATAACTTAGTCCACGTCTACACAGCAGGCAGTTATTTTGAAATAGTGTTAAACTACTGTCAAGCTGGAGGACTTCTTACTCTGACTCCTGTAGTCTCATTGTACGAGGAATAGGGGAAGTCAGAGGAAGAGTGCTCTATTTTGAAATAAGTGTTGTACAGATGCTCCCTATTTCGAAATAAGCTTTTTTGAAATAAGATACGCAATTGACGTAGCTCAATTTGCATAGCTTATTTAGAGGTAAGCCCTGCAGTGTAGACACATGCTATGTCTTCAAATGGAGCCAGTATACTTTTAAGGACAATATAAATTAAAAGTCCAAGCAAAGCACTGACCCCAAAGTCATTGGAAAGTCACTCTCAGTCATAGTCTACTTACATCTTGGTCATGTACTGGATGAAAGTCAGTTTTCCTACAATGATGTTGATCAACTCCTTGAAGCATCATCCAAAATGTCTCCATTATCTCCTTTTACTAGGGCAAGCTCATCTGCGAGTGATTGACATTACAGAATTAATTCACTTGTCAGTTTAGGACAATTAACTTTAAGAGGTTAATCTCTATACATGAATTCCCCTCCCCTCAATAACTGCTGTTAGACAGAAAGCAAAGAGACATGCTAAGAACAAGGAAAGCATATAGAACACTGTTTTGGAGAAGGCTGTCAAAGATACAAGACATAGTTATGCAACTAACTGCCACTGAAAGTCATTGGTAGTAGGGCACCTCACAATAATTTGTCTTTTTGAAAACCTTCCCCTACAATATTTTTTTTTTGCTTGATTTAAATAAGGTCACTGCTCAGATACCACAGTGTTAGGTGTCTAAAGGAAAGAAACAGATGGATACACAGATAATCCAAGCATTTCCTTAGAACTGTAAATTGTTCTATGCTAATTATACCGAATTAGATATTCCCGTAACACACTCATGAAGAGCCCCTCCTGAATAGCTACCAAAAATACTTTGAAATTGATCTGGTAAAGAGGTGTTTGGCTGGGGGGAGGGGGGGGAGGTGAGTTAAAGATAGCTAGGGATAAAGGCTGCTAGTACCTCTAGATGTAATAGTACTATTTCACTAAATGATATTCTGCTGGACTAGTCTGACAATCAATCAATACAATTAAAGCTCTATTTCACTCCACCTTATAAAAAGCAAGTTATTTAGCACTGTCAAACAATTTAGGACACCATTACAACCTTGTAGTTAGCTTCAAGTTATGTGAAATAACCAAAGGCTGGTTATAATATGAAACAGCGCTTGTTTTTGTGTTAATAAAACAGTAACAATGTGAATGTTAACTGTATAGGTTTTGCCCCCAGTTCAGATAGATACTTAAGCATGTGCCTAGGCACGTGAATTATACTGATTTCAAAAGGACTATTCACATGCTTTAAATTAGGCACATTGTAAAGTACCATTTGGAATGAGACCTGAAAGAGTTATATAAGAAAACATAGGAAATTGCTAGTAGGTGGTGCTTTGATTTTTTTAAATTGTGTGTGTGTGTGTGTGTGTGTGTGTGTATAAATGGACTCTCTAGGACATAAACCAAAAGAATATTCAGTACAGAGAAATTGTTGAAAACAGTAACTAGCAGCAGTCTGCGTCCACCATAATAACATACAATAATAATAAACTTTGTTATGGCAGGGACACTGTAGATAAAGTCACATTGAAAGTTCCCTTATAAAGTTTATTTCCATCACTTCCCCTAACTTGCATTTAGCAACTTTAACTTTAAATGCAGCACTTTTTGGGTTTATATAGCACTGTATAGATACAGTGGACTATAAAGTTTCTAATGTAAAAGCCAAGGCCTGCTCCTATTGGAAATGATGACAAAATTCCCATTGACACCAATAGAAGCATGATGGGTCTTTAAAAGTACACAGTTAACTCAGACACAAGCAGACACCAGTCAATAATTAAAGTGTAGGACAGCACACAGGTATCACCGGTGAGCAGGTAAAAAAAAAAAGGCACCATGAACAAAATGTGTTTTAATTTGAGTTTCATAGGAGAAAAAGGATTTAAATAGCTTATAAGTTTTTAAGTAGGATATGAAGGAAAGTGTGTGGCCACAAAGAGGAAGGCTATTTGAAGTCTAGAGCAAGTTTGGAAGGTGAAAGTGGGAAAAGGAGACAAAGGGAGAAATAAAAGAGAGAAACCATGCAGCTTATAAGGAGAAGGAAATGAGAGCATATAGTCAAAGGCAGGACTGTGTAGTCTGAGTAGACTGAATTGTTTATGGTAAAATACAGGGAGCCAGTGAAAGCACTTGGGCTATGTCTATACTACGATCCTCTTCCACAAGAGGAAATGCAAATGGAGCACTCATTTGCATATGTTGCATTTTTTGAGAAAAATGACTCTTGCGCAAAAGGGTTTTTTTGCACAAAAAGGAACCGTCTACACAGCACTTTATTTTTCTCAAAAAATGCAACATATGCAAATGAGTGCTCCATTTGCATTTCCTCTTGTGGAAGAGGCTCGTAGTATAGATGTGGACTTAGTTGGGAGGAGTTGGGTTCAAAAAGCCAAGAACCAGAGCTCTCTAAACTCAAGCTGTCATCTGTTATAGTAATTTAGCCTAAGAAAGTCTCACATAATGCACCTGTAGTAAATATTCAATGCATGCAGGCAAATGTTTCTCTGACCCACTTTGTGCAGAGCCGGATTAACTTTTTGAGGGACCCAGAACCTGGTCCATGGCTTTGTCCCATCCACCCTTTCCCACTCCTCTGTGCTCTGGCCCAAGGCCCCACCAACAACTTGGGAGGAAGGGGCCAGAGAGGAGTGGAGCCTGGGTTGGGGGGAGGCTGAGCGGGAACAGTGTCCCACTGAAGATAGCGGAGGATAAGAGCCACTGTCTGGGCACCAGTTCCCTTTTGAATATGGGCCTGGAGCCATTGTAAATCCACGACTGCACTTGGTGATCAGTGTGGCTAGAAATGTGATGACTGATAGCATAACCCAGCGGCACCAGGGAAGAATGTGCACTGAGTGTGTAGGAACAGTACACTTCTACATACTACACTGAGCTTTCTGAAAATCTACAGAGACTAAAATTAAAAAATCTCCCATGGATCCAACAGGACCCTCTAGCCCTTGTGGAGTCCCAGAAGGGTGACCAGATGTTTCAATAATTCAAAGATTGTCTCAATAGTCAACTATACAATCCCTCCCCACTAAAAATAAGGTCCTGATTTTTCACATTATCTGGTCACCCTAAGTCCTACTGACCCCAAGGGAATTTTGCAAAGGCTTAAGGATGCACACCAGTGCTGCCTAGTGCAGGATCATGGCAATAATGAAGTCAGCCTCTTGTTTTAGGGAGCAGAGAGTTAGTTTGCTAGTGTAAACCAAAACAATGATTGGTTTTGCAAAGAACTTTAGATGCTTTACAATAAATCTGGATGTGCTTCAAAATCCCATAAGACTTTAAAAAAAATCTGGATGTGTTTTCTCAAGTAACTATTTAAAGCATATTAAAGTTTATTTAATTGCGCTGGGATTTTTCAAAGCATATCAGGGCAAAACAGCAGACTGTAGGCCCCAATATGCTAATTAATAGCTAGCTAGACCCCTGAAATAAACCTGTTACACTTCATTAATCAGACAGTAATTGAATTGGCACAGTACTTTTGTGGATACTATATGTAGATTGAAATACCATCCCTGACAAGGGTGAAGGTAACTTTTTCCACAACAGAATGTTTTTGGACATGGAATTTTGCATTGTTCATTGGGCAGTTGACCTTCATATTTCATAGCTTTCTGCATGGAAAACCCCACATGACTGAACCCAGTGAAATATTCCACATGCTTCTATGGTCTTTGAGGTAAGTACCCTTCAATGACCACAGATTCACTTCAGTGGAAAAAGAACAAATCAGGATGGATACATTTACCTTGTCAACTAAAGACATCAGTCGATTAACGTTATTATAAAATAATAGTGTTGAACAGATGTTACATTTGCTAAGTTTATATTTGGCTATTTGAAAGGTAACTACCTGGGGATTTAACTGATAAATACTTACTGCTTTGCTTATGAAAAATGAAACAATACGTTTTCCTGCAAGAATTCATGAAGTATAATTCTGAATATTGATTGCACATAGTAAGAGCTCAGTGAGGAGCTGATTGCCTCTAGAGGAAGAGAACAACAACAACAAAAAAAAGTATGTTAAGCTGTTTGCCACGAAGTGATCATTAAGTACATACCCATGCTGTTGTGGGAGCTTGGAGGAGTCGCTTGGCCTCTGCATCTCTGTTTTCTCTCCCATGGAGGTCAGAGGGATTGTTCACAATCTTAAAGTTAAGTACATGCTTAAGTGTTTTACTGAACTGAGTCCTGAGTGCCTGCCAGTTTTCAAGTCTCCATCGTCTTCTGCTGAGGTGCTAGAATGGGTCTAACAAGGTTGCAATTTGTGGTTTGTCTTAGCTGCATTTTATTCACTCCTATGCTCACAGCCATTTTGTCAGAGTTCTCAGAAGAAAACAAATCCACTGCCTGACTGCAAGCAAGCAGATCAAATTTCAGCTGTAAATGTAAGAGAAAGAAATTTATAAGCAATAGAAAATGACCCATGATACTGAAAGTACTTGGGCATTCTTAATTAACTGGAAGCATCAACACTTATGCCAGCTATAATGTCTGTGCATCCACTGTACTTCACAACCCCAATAAGCTGTATTCCCATGCCAAGATGAAACTAATAAGCTATACTAAAAAGAAACAAGTAAATCATAATGTATAGTATATTCCTGAGAAGGATCCAGTAATGAATTGATTTTGGGTTAGCAGAAACTAGGAAAGCAAACAGCTGTGATACTCACATCATTTATCAGAGCAAGCTACAGCTCTTTGATCTAAAAAATAAAGAAAACTACTTAGTGTTTTTTCAACAAACAGTTTAAACCGATTAGGTAGTTTGAACTTCCATGCCTGTTCAGAGAAACACTATCCTTAGAGCTGGCTTGTTAACAAAAACTACTGTAACACATTGGGGAATATATTCTCTAGCTATCTGATTTCTTCTAATCATTGTCCTCTTTCACTGGAGAATTTCCCATTATTCAGGAACATATGGACTAAACATTTCTTCAGTAATCATGTCTGAACAAAGTAATCATTCCCTCATTAACCAATTATTCCTCAGAATCAAATGAAACAGACATATTTGCTAAGACAATTTTCATTAATAAACTCTACAGAACCATACCTAACATACCTCCCATTCAAATGGTATAATTCAAAGACCTCACCATAGATAACAAAGAAGGATTCTTCTTTTACACTAACAATGAATGATCTCAGGAGCAAGGTTAGTGATGGAATGAATACCAGATTAAAGAAAAAAAGAGATGTTAAAAGAGTGGTAATTACAGGTTAAGTTATTTAACCTTTTGTATGCTGCGGGCCTCTCCAGCATGCTCACAACTTTTAGCATAAATTCAAAGATTTCAAAGATACTGTAAGAGCAAGTGGGAACACAGGCTGACCAAAAATGTCCTTGTGTGATAGCTGGAAAGGAGGTGTGTGTGGTGGGGGGAGGGGAGGGGAAATGGAGGAGGAACCAACCATGGATGCACATACACAACTAAACCAAACAAAAAACTAAGTTACTTTTTCTAACCACCTAGGAGAAATACAAACTGCTACTGCAGTAGCACTCAGTAAGGTATTTCAGAAAACACTCACGCAAAGTACATCCAAATGGATCTTGGAAAACTACATGCTATTTGGATTTTTAAATGGCTGATGAAAAATCAGACATTGAGGAGTTAAGAGAAGAGTGTATCTTGCACATGTTTTTAATTACTTGTTGCACATTGTAGTTTGATATACCATTCAATTCTATGACAGGGCAGAAACTTCTTTATAACAGTAGAAAACAATGTAATTTTATCCCAACCTCTTTCCTTTGACTACTGAAACAGAGAGTACTGAAAAACAATGCACTCTCTCTTCAAGACATTACAGTGGACTCTACATTCTTCAGTTCATTTCTCTTTTCTCAGCCAGAAGTAAGCATGTACCTATCTGAGAGTTATGTTGTAAGGTTAATTAGTTAAAGAGCCAAATTCTTCAGTCCTTACTTGGTTTAAATTCCCAAGGGCTCAAGGTGATGGCCCATAACTTGAGAAGCACTTTGAAAATGTAAAGCTCTACTTGAGTGCTACATATTATCATCAGCATCTATTTCTGATTTACAATCTGTAGTCTTCCTGATGCCCAAACAAATGTTAATATCTCGTTACAGTGGAAAAAAATAAGTATAGTTGAATGTTTCCCCATCAGAATCTTCATTCTCTCTCCAGTATTCTCTCTTACAGTGCAATATCCCCAACCTCAAACCTTTCTTTCTATAGTTTTGCTGTCTTCATTGGGAACAACAAAGGTGTTATTGGGTATGTCTAGACTTGCTCCCTAGTTCGAACTACGGAGGCAAATGAAGCATACCGAATTTGCTAATGAAGCATGGGATTTAAATATCCCATACTTGAGTAGCATATTCGCGGCTGGTCACTATTTTAAAAAGCCGGTAGCCTGAATAATCTTGCCACGTGTAGTCGTGGTAGTCCGATCCAAAACCCTTCCCTCAAATTAACTGTTACTCCTTGTGCAAATACCTTACTGAGTGCTACACACGGCGAGTTAATTCAGGCTACCGGCTTTTTAAAATGGCGACTGGCTGTGAATATGCTAATCAAGTGCGGGATATTTAAATCCCGTGCTTCATTAGCAACTTCGGTATGCTTCCTTTGCCTCCCTAATTCGAACTAGGGGGCAAATGTAGACATATACATTTAGTGTTGTAACTTCTGGCCCAAATGGCACCAGACTTCAGATTGCAATCTTGAGAACAGGCAAAATACATGCACTAAAATAACTTCAAAATTATTCAGAATTTGTTAGTGCAAGGGTGCTAATTTCAAAATCCCTGCATTAATTTAATTTTACCACCTGATAGTGGTGGAGAGGCTTGCGTGCTCCAATGACCCCAAGAGCAATGCTGCCCAGAGTCATGTATTCCCTTAGGGTCACTCAGGGCAGAATGCTCAAGGGCAAAGTTCCTGACAAAGTGTGATCCAAGAAGTCCTCAATGACAGAGCAGAAGGAGGATACCTGCATAATGGAGGTGAAACTATTGTGTAATGTTACAATGGCTGTGAAGGTGGATGTAGCTGCAGCAGATAAAGGATTTCCGATCGCTGTGGTGTCCATGCCATTGGTTTCAAGCCCTTTGTCAAGGACAGTCCGATGACTGTGGTGCACCAGTCTCCCCACTTTAAAAGAAATCCCGCACAGGCATTTTCCAGTTTTGGGAAAACACTCGCACAAGTCAAAAGTCTGGTGGTGATTGGCAAGTGGTGACGGGAACAGGGAAGTTCCTAGTCACAGACCAACACACAGAAAGTGGGTGTGTGAGTCAGTCGTCTTGCTCGAGGATTGAGGCAGCTGAAGGATCTCAGCAGCTGCACCGAGGACTGAACTGTCCTCTCTAGGATCCACTCTGCTCACCCCATCTGGGGAAGGGTCTAGAAAAGGTGCTCTAAAAATAGTCTTGACTCTTTTCCTCTTGGATGCTGTGACATGGCTAGGGAGAAAAACCAGCTCAGGGTGGGGTGAGGGCACCCAGCTCATTTCTAGGCCTTTCATCAATTCTTGGCTTTTGCTCCCCAGTCCGGGTCTATAGCTCCACCCACCGTACTGTGACCAATTGAACTATCCACTATAGTCAGTAAAGCCCACTAAGTTCATGGAGCAGGGTGGCCCAATGACCCGCTTCTGTAACTGTCCCCTACTCATGGGTTAGTGGGGGCAATGGTCACAGTCCATAACCTCTACTCATGTGGCAATGCAGTTCAGGGGTTAGAGTCAAGAACTTGCCCCTTCATGTGAGGTAATGTGACCTAGGGGCCTTAGTCTATAACTTGCCCCTATTTGCAGGGTGGTACAGTTCAATAGTTTGAGCTCAATAATTCACCTCTATCCATGGGACAGTGCAGTCCCATCTCAAGGGATGGGAGGTAGGGTAAAGGGTTTCATCCCTCAGCAGAGGGATCCAGGCCCACCCACTCCACTGGACCCCATCCCAGGGCCCTGTTAGTGGCTTTCTTTAGCCACTGAGTCAGTGTAGAAAACTCCATCTGAAACTCCTCGATGGCGGCTCACTCACCATGTAACCGTCACCTTTCCTGGGCTGCTTCCTGCTGTTGTTGCCTCAGCTCCATCATGAATCTCTGTCTTCCCTCCTTTATCTGGAATCTATCTGTTCCTACTTGCCTCTGGAACCTGTGAGGTCTCCGGGAGCATCTGACCTGCAGCCTGGGTGGTAGTGCCTTAGCATCTGGGTAGTCACTGCTATTTGCCTGGAACTGGCAATTCGCATTCTCTCCCTCCAGCTTCTAGCCCCAACTGAGATGAGCTGCTCTCTTTTATAGGTGTGCAGCTTGAGCATGCCCAGTAAGGCAGAGGGGGTGTGGCTTTCTCAGCCCTCAGGACTGGGTTAACTCCTGCCTGCTCAGTGTGCTCTGTCACAGCTGGATAGCTGCATGAAGCAGGATCACTACCCCGACAATCAAAAATGTAAGGATTTTTTCAACTTAGGAACCTGGAACATACACACCCTGATGGACAACTCAGATAATGACTGACCAGAGCAACATACAGCAACATCATTGCTTGTGAAGTGAATCAGTTTAACATCAATATTGCTGCCTTGTCTAACACTAGGGGTGCCTCTAGACTGGCAAAAACTTGTCAGCTGTCTACACTGGCCGCTTGAATTTGTGCAAGAGCACTGACTTTGTAATGTACAAAATCAGTACTTCTTGTGCAAATACTCTCACTCTCCCACTTGGGAAAAAGCCCTCTTGCGCAAGAATACTTGCGCAAGAGGGCCAGTGTAGACAGGGAAAAACTGTTTTGTGCAAAAAAGCCCAGATGGGTAAAATGGCGATTGGGGCTTTCTTGCGAAAAATCACATCTAGACTAGCCACAGATGCTTTTGCACAAAAGCAAATCTTTTGCGCAAAGGCACTTGCCAATCTAGACGCGCTTTTGCGGAAATACTTTTAATGGAAAAATTTTTCCGTTAAAAGTATTTCCGCAAAATCATGCAAGACTAGATGCAGCCTAGAAGAATGGATGAAGGATAGGTGAGGGAGGAGAAAGGAGGATACACCTACTTCTGGAAGGGAAAATCTTTGTATGAGCCTTGATTGTATGGAGTGTGCTTTGCTATAAAAAGCAAGCTCGTAGGATGCCTCTCCACTTAGCCAGCTGGCATCAATGAGCTGCAATGACACTCATGACACTCCAATTAAAGCTCACCAAAAATCAAAAGCTAACTATTGTGAGTGCCCATGCGCCAACAATGGATGCCGATGAAGATATAAAGGAAGTTTTCTACTCTCAGCTGGACACCATTTTATCTGAGACCCTTAAGGAAGACAAGATTGCTCTTCTGGGAGATTTCAATGCATATGTTGGATGAGACTTAGACCTGTGGAAAGGAACAAT